TGTGGTCGGCGAAACTACTCTGATCAACGACGCTTCTACCTATGCCGACAATGGAAGTCGACGGACGTTGGCGTTCGGTGGAGGAAGCTAGAACGGGAGGATGAAGTAGAGGGGGACATTGGAAGCGGGAGATGGAAAAAAAAGAGGCGGGAACTTGGGGCACAAAGGGCAAATGATTTTATTTTCATCGGTCAGCTATATTTTTTTGCTTACCCAGTAGGAGGCAATTGACCGAGTAAGGGATGAAATTCTTGCAAAACAAACGATCTAACCCGGACCCATTCAGGCCTTACCTCTTACTGGACTCAGTAAGAGGCAAAACAAACAAGGCCTAAGTGTTAAAAAAATGCATATGTCCAAAGTTAACCATTTTTTAGTGTAACACCCATATTTTCGCCATTTTAGGTGTTTTAACATGACCCCACAAACTTTTATAACACAAATATGTTATTAACATTGTCTTTCATTTTTAACATACATTAAGCACCCTTTTTATTTGAGAATTTGTTTTATCTTCAACTCATAACCATGATACATGAAACTTTCCAAATGATAGATTTACTCTAGTCTCATGAGGCTTGTAAATCTCGAGTTTATGGAGTGTTAGCATGAGGTATTCAACATTTTAACCACAAGTAGTTACATAAATACACAAGTGCATGCAAATATCCAAAGATTTAAACAAAACTTGACTTGTATTCCCCCTAAAAGGATGAAAAACACGAAAATAGTGGGGTATGAAGCTCACCTTGGTTGATTTCGTGAGGTAGAAGAAGAAGAAGGAAATTTTCGAGCCTAGCCTTGTCTTGGAGAGATTCTCGAGAATGGTGGTGTTCTAAGAGCTTAACACACAACAAAAGTGTGTAAAAAAGGAGTTGTTATCATAATAATGTTTAGATTTACAAGAGTTAGATGAAGGTCTTACCAAACTTATGAACCTTTGAAGAAGACTCCTTTGAAGACGGTACACAGAGACCCACGAAATTTTAGAGGAGAAATGAGAGAAGTTTGATTTTTTGAGAGGAAGAAGTAGGAGGAGTTCTTGAGACTAAGTGAGGGAAACTGAAGTTTTTGAGGTGTGTTGGAGGGGGGGGGGTCGGGCGATCCTAAGAGAGAGGAGGGAGAAAGAAGTTGACTTGTGGAAAGTTGATGGGATGCATGCCTTGATACATGGAGGTTAAAACATTGTTGCATGTAGGGAAAAAATGAGGTGGCACCTCCTTGTTCTATTCATTTTTCCTTTTTTTTGTTCAAACCCTAACCGACCCCATAGGGTTCTTGGTCCAAAGGGTGGGTTTCGATTTTTGGCTTGGCCCAGTAAAAGTTTTCGGTTCATTAAAGCCCAAAGGTAGGAGTTTTCGGCCCAATAATGCCTAAGGAAGGGTTTTCGGCCCAATAGAACTTTTCGGCCCAATAGGGCCCAACGAAGGGTTATTGGCCCAACAAGGCCCAATAGGGTGTTGGGCCGAGAATTCTTGGATGAAAGCCCAAAATGGATTGGTCTTAACTATTGGATCAAGTTTTTGGGCTTGTTCGAGGATTGATTTACAATGTATGCACGTATGATTTTAAATAACATTGTAGTTTGAATTTCACTAAATGGGGTGTTGCAAGGTTAGATGGAGGAAATTGTCTCGTACAAGAATCAAAATCTCAACCCTAATTTGCTAGTTGTGACACCATGGCACTCGGATGTAAGACCATGTGGAGAGCCCATGACTTTCCTATTAAAGACCATGGGAGAGCCCATGGCACTTAGGTGTAAGATCATGTGGGGAGCCCATGGCAGCCTGGAGTAAGACCCTGGGGACGAGCCCGTGACATCCCTATATGTTGTATGCATGGCTTATGTCGTTTATGTAGCTTTTATAGCTAATATGATTATGTGATTATGTGGATTGTGTGGGGTATGCTTTGGGGAACTCACTAAGCATTAGCTTACAGTTTGTGGATTTGTTTCGGGTTCATCTGACCCTAAGGGCAAGGGCAAGGTTTGATGACTCGACGTGCGCCCTCTCAAGCGTTTTTATGGGACACTCTGATGTTTTGAAATAACATTGTTATTGATATGAATTTGAAAAAAATTGTATTTGAGATTTTATGGTTTATGGAAAGTGTGTTTGGCTATTGAAAAATGAAAATTTTCTTTTGAAAATTGGGTCGTTACAATTTCACTCATTTTACACTTTCGGAGGAGATTACATGCCATGCAAACAAAATACATTTTGGACAATGACTTTACACAAAGGTCCTAGATCTAATATATGATGGATAAAACTTTTAACCTTTGGGTAAGACTCTTACATGCATGTTTATGTTCTATTTATGAAATATATACATACATTCATATTTTCAAAGAAAACACACAAGTCTCATTCTTTCATATGCACAAGCTTCTAATATTGGATCTATTGTATGGTGGATAATATCTTTATCCATTGGATAATATTATTACACATTGGATAAACACAAATTAACATTTTTACCAAAAGTGTAGTTTTGAAAGATTAAAACTTTGTGTTTACACATTGGATAAAACCATTACCCATTGGATAATACCATTATCCACTAGGTAATACTATTATACACTGGGTAACCAACATACATGTAAAACAACACTTTGAACATGGGAAAACTTCAATTTCATTTACAGCCTAGAATAACATACTTTCGACGGGTTATGTGAGACATTTCTTCAACCATTATGCTAAGACCCGGACCTTATAATCATTAAATCTTAAGTGAGCGGGATAATTGTGTATAGATCTATATGGGATTGACAACCCCCACCTATGGTTGCTAGCTACAACCACGATCGACGGGTCAAGGGTGACAATTGTCTTAACATTTTCACGACATCCGAAGAAGCATCGTGGCGGGCAGCATTACAGTCGATAGCTCGATTATAAGGGCTCACTATAACATCGAATAGTGAAATTCTAGTACAAAACACATTTATAAGTATGGTTATTTACTTATACACTCGATTTTTGGATAATAAAAATCACATGACAAGTCACACTTTCTATAAGTTTAGAAGTTATGGGAACTTTTATTTTATTAATGCTTTTGGATACATACTACACACATACATTCTTCTTTTACGCTGAAGGCGTACAAATACAAAACTTTTTACAAGACGGAGATACAATTTTCATCTAAGGAAAAATATCGGATTTTTCTACAACTGGACTCTTATGAACTCACCAACTTTATGTTGACTTTTAAAACGGCATGTAATCTCAGGAAACAATTAAGCTCGGATCAGTGGAGCTACTTTTGAAGACAAAAGACCAAATATCATTACGAGAACTACTTTATTTGATAACATGCAAACCTTGTAATGTATTCTGATACTAAGTAACATTTGGGTCATGTAACTGATATAATCATATGATATGATGGTTGTTTATGTACTTGTGATAATGTGTTCTCATTCTACCCCCGGACGTTTCCGCCATCCGGTTTGGGGGTGTGACAATGGTGGTGGTGGTGGCGGCGGCAACGTGGTGGCGATAGTTGTGGTGGTGGCGGAATGACGGTGGTGACAAGGTGGCATATGTGTGTGAGAGTGTTTTTGTGGGGGTAGTGCTAGTGGTGGTGTGTGTTTATGGGGAGGGGGGGATGGATAGGTTGTATGTGTGTGTGTGTGTGTTTGGTGGGGGTGGGTGTGGGTGTGTTTGTAGGGGGTAATTGTGGTGTGCGTGTGTGTGTGTGTGTGTGTGTTTATTTGTGGGGGTGGGGATGGTTGTGTGTGTGTGTGTGTGTGTTTGTAGGGGTAGTGGTGGCGGTGTGTGTATTTGTGGGGGTGGGGGTGGGGTTGAGGTGAGCTTAGGGTATCCACATTCCATTAAACTCTACGAAGTTCAATGGATTGACACATCACTACAACATCAACATTTCACTTTTTATTCAACTATACTCTTTAACATCCATACTCCATTAAACTCTACAAAGTTTAATGGATTTCTATATTTGGTTTGAAATTTAATTGGAAAAGAAAAAATTAAATCTATTGAACCATCAATGATCATACAACTCTCTCATTCAACTCTCCTCCATGTCATCAGTCACATTCCATTAAACTTCTATTCAATCCTAGTCATCATGTATTCAACTCTGATTAAACCCCCATGATGCTCTTAGGAGTGTGTGGGTTGGGGGTGTTAAGGTGGGGGTATGTAGAGGTGTGTAGGGTTGTGGTGGGTGTATGTTTATATTTTTGAAATTAGAAAAATGTGGAAAACAATGATTATCGGTTTTCCAAAATTTTCTAAGTTCTTTGTAGTTTTAAAAAATGGAAAATATTTATTTTCCGAGAAAAATCGATGAATTAAACACGTTTTTAAAATTCTCATTTTTCTTGGAAAATTTTTCCAAAAAATGGCCCATTTATCTGTAACTAAATGCACCCTACGCATCTTATTCTTCTTATACTTGGAACATTTGCTCCATCTAGCCCCACCATCTTTTTCTTAGTCACGAACAATCATCAACATCTTCAGCTTCTACACTACTAGAAATAGAGGTATCACTGACGGACAATTCTGCGCTGATCCGTTGCTGAAGGCCATCAACGACGGATTAGCGACGGAATTTGGTAGTCGAAAAAACCTTGTCGCTAATAGTTAGCGACAAATTAGTGATGGATTAGCGAAGTCACAAATTGCTTATGGAACCTCTGGATTTTGTCGTTAATCTGTCGTTGATGTTTGTCGCTAATCCGTCATTGATGAGTTATTTAGCTACAAAATAATTTTTTAAGAAAGCTCATAAAACCAATAAATTCTGTAGTTGATTGCCAATTATATCATTTGTTTTAATATTCTAAATCTATAACCAAAATCTACAAAAGAAATCTAATGTATATAATAAATTACAATTAAAATCCAATTACTAAATTAAATATAAATATTTGACCAGGTAAATGAAGATTAATATTCAATTTCAAAGTATCGAAACCAAATCACATTCAAAGTATTGAAACTAAATCACAAGTATCAAGAGTCAAAGTGTAAATCGATTTCAAAGTATCGAAACCAAATTAGAAAAATCAAATGTGGAAGTTTAATTAGTTGGGTAGGTTACTTCCTCTAGTGAATTAAGTGTGAATGTCGTTATAAATCTTGAAATTTTCTTGTTTTTATGGCTTAATTTCTTCACGTTCCACCCTAAGCACATCCTTTATCTCCTCACGTATACGATCAAGAATAGCCTACAAAGAAAACAATTTGTAACAATGTACTTTCAATAAGCTCATCCTTTATCCTTTAAAACTAAAATCATTTTAAAAGGAAAACAAACCATTAAGTGATGATAACATTATACATTATAAGAGATTTTGCACTAGTTTTCCATCTCGGGTGAATCATTTGGAGTTTATCTTGGTACTAGTAGCAAACCAGAAGGGCAAATACGTCAATTTGACTGTGCAGGGGTGAATATGTCCAGGGCTCTCTCACTATAATTCTTGTACCTGTAAATAATATACAACTAATAATGATGTCTTAATTTCTAGATTCAAATATATCATATATCAGGATATGCCTAATATATTTAGCCATATTCTTTTATATTGTATGTGCTTCCAAGTTTCTTTTCCCTTATCCCAAGTAAGTATTTGCTGACATCTAGTACCATTTTATAATAAAATTAAGTTACTTAAATAGTTAGTTATAAATAAGTTGTAGCAGCACTAAAATATAAAAACTAACAGAATACGAGGGGAGGATTGCAATTATACCTTATTAGGTTCAATTATCTAAACATGGAATAGCATATATCTAATTAAAATCACCCCATCGACAAAAACCAGAAAAATATTGTAGACAAGTCCAAATATATTGTCCACCAACTGTAGCAACACAACACCATATCTTTTACGCAATAGTGAGTTCAGGTCCCTCCAATCATGATCTAACTAGAGAATAGATTGAAATTAATTGAGATGTAAGGCTAAATGGTCACACCCACACAATTTGCACATGATAGAATGGATTAGGGATATAATCATATATTTGAAACTTCTTACTTTTTCCTCTTGTAGTCATGACATGCTCATCTCTATTTTTTAGATTCATGAGAGCATTTCCTGGAGTAGGTTTATCAACCCAAATGGAGAACCTCCATAAGAGAAACTCAAGGAAAGCATCAAGCTCAGCTTCGTATTGAAAAACAATCCTGGCTAATCCCAAAAGGATAAGATTTGGTAATTAAATTAAAGATGGAAACAAAAAGAAAAACCTCGACTATGTGATAATATACCTTCATTTCAGAGCAAACCTTGACTAATTGCTCTTTCAACATGGCTGACATCTCAACATCAAGTCTTGCTGTATCCACCTGGTTAACTCTAGATATCACAACTGGAATTGCAGACTGCAGGGAATTCACCAACAAATCCATTAGGTCGTGTTAAAAATGAGAGGGGCTAAGGAACCTTCAGGGATATGAAAAAAAAAACTTGTTTTCTCCTAGAAAGATGTTGATGAATTTATATGAGGTCTTTGAGCATTAATTTTGTTTCCAGTAACCCAACTAAATAACTCTGAGGTTAATCATTTAGTTCAATATGAGATTCATAATCCTAAATAATGATTTTGCTTCTAACAGCTCAATATATTATCACTCTGATTTTAACTATTTAGTACGAGATGAGATTCATGAACATTGATTTCGTTTGGATTGACATGGGAAGAAGAATTAATAGAAAGCAAACTAAAAAAAAAGATGTCCAGTCAATACCTGAGAAGGAGGGGTGAATGATTTTCAGCGCGGTGATAATCTTTCATATGTATTAACCCAAGCTGCTTCGGCTGGTGGGATGACGTTTGTTGTCGTCGATGATGAATATGATGCTATCGCTAGGGTTTCTCGCATTTTGTAACTTCAGATCGATCGGCGCCATCTCGATGTGCAATGGAGGATGAGAAAGACGAAGGGCTAAATGTAAAAGAATGTTACATAAGATTTACAGAAGATTTGGGAGGAGAAGTGAGGGAGTCGATTTGGGAAGAGAGGTTGAGGGTGTCGATTTGGGAGAGATGAATGGGGGGAACGAAATAAGTGGGAGGGAAACAAAAAGTTGAACCAAATAAATGGGAGGGAATTAAAAAATCAGCTACTGATTTTTCCCGGATGAAAAGAATCCATTGAATCAACCACATCTGAAATTTAGTATTACACATTAATATAACTTCGGTCGCTAAACCCTTGCAAGTCCATCACTGATTAGCTAGGGATTTTTTCGGTGGCTAATTCATCGCTGATACCTCTTTTTCTAGTAGTGCTATTTGAGACCTTCAAGCTTTCTGCAATTTGACAAATTCTAGCCAACATAAGAATCCTTAATGACTCTGCACCAAAGTATCAAGTTCATATTTTAACAGTTACATTATTTGGTTAGAGCATATATTCGTTCCAAGCGCTGCAAAACTTCTTCACTTGAAGGTCTATCCTTAGAATCGGTAGCTACACATCTTAATGCGAGTGCAGCACATTTGAAAGCACCTTTTAGCTGGTAATCTTTCTGTAGACGTGGATCCATTATTTTATCTAGCTTGCTTCTACTTGTTAGGAATGGACCTGCCAGTTCTGCCAAATTTAATTGATAATTAGGCGACCCCCATGCCCCATCACCTGTTAGGGTTACCAGCAATACCACTCCGAAGCTATAGACATCACTCTTCATAGTCAGATGACCTGTAATTTGTATTTTTTTTTATGATCACAATATAGAGATTAACCTTTAAATTAATCACTACAACTTGGCATATTTGTTTAACAATCCATGGTTCCTGTGAAAATATATACTTATAGACAAAAGAGTTCAAGTATGATCTTTTTTCTACATATTTACATTTCCATATTTATCTAAAATGGGCTCATTCTGAAACTCTGGAAGAATGATTTGTTTTCTTTGGGAGGAGGGAGTCGTTCCCTCCCAACACACTGAACCCACTGTCACATCAATTTTTGTCTCTTCTTTTTCTTCATCTTTTCCAACCCATAACAAACGGAAATCCTATCTTTCTCAACCCACTCAACCCACTCAACCCACTAAATTAAATAAAATACAAAAAAACCAAGGTACAAATTTTAAAATACATTGTACAAGAGAAAATGAGAGAGAGAAAGTAGAGAGAGATGATGAAGTGGGTTAGTGAAACCAATTAAACAACCCATTGAAACGGAAGTGGTATCGGCGGTAACTCTATTGCTAATTAAGATTTTACCTTGATTGCTTTGTATGTTTTTTTTAATTGAATGAGTTGAATGGGTTCAAAAAGATAGTGTTTCCGTGTGTTGTGGGTTGGGAAAGATGAAGAAAAATAAAAGAGAAAAAATGATATGGCAGTGGGTTCAGTGGGTTGGGAGGGAATGACTCCCTCCTCCCTTAGGAAAAATTAATCGCAAATCTGGTAGAAGTTCACTTGATTAAATATTATTTTGTAGGTAGCCTACCTGTCTTTACATACAATGGGTCAACATAACCAATGGTACCCATAACACGTGTAGTAGCATCTAATTTGTGAATTTCAGACCCAAATTTAGCAAACCCAAAATCCCCGAGTTTTGTATTAAAATCCTGGCATAATCAAGAAAAATAATTTGTTAATTTTCATGGCAAAAAAACAAATGCCTGGAAGTGGTTCCCTCACCACCAAAAATCTTCAATAACTTAAGACTACCTGATCGAGGAATATATTAGAGGGTTTAACATTACGGTGTATCACTTGATAGCTTGACGAATGTATATACGCAAGTGCACGTGCTACTCCTATCAATATTATAAGTCGTCGTCCCCAGGAAAGTGGTGCATCTGCAAAATTGTTCATGTTAGATAAAGTACTTCTGAGTCAAAATAATCCAATAATATATATTACCTTCAAATAAGAAGTGATCAAGATTTCTCTTTTCCATGTACTCGTAAACAAGAAAGTATTCGTGGGGTTTATCATTAGAGTGTCCCAAAAGACTAATAATATTTGGATGAGCCAAACTTCCTAATACGCCTACCACTGTCTGATCTCACAAAATTTAAAGTTAGTCATTGAAAGGATTTCAATCAACAAAACATTTAGCATTGAGATTTCGCCTATCATATCATACTATTTTTTTTCATATTTCGACTTCTATGAGCTTCTTTCTTTTTTACATCCGATAAAAATCGTTGTTTTAGACAATGCATTGTTCTATGAAAAAATGACTCATGAGTTTGCACATACAACTTAAAACTAAGATGTAGAAAGAAATATAGGCTTAAGTTTAATCCAATTTAAAGGTTATCATTAGATCCGCATTTGTTCATCTGTCACCGGTTAACAGCCACAATCTACCTATATGTCAGATTGCCATGGTTGAAACGTCATGTTCTTTTCCACCTATTGTTAATAATGTTAAATATGCAGTATTTTCATTAGATTTGAATTTTAAAGACCGGAAAGTTTTGGGCAGGCCAATTTTTTCTATTTTGTTTTTTTTGTCTTTATTATTATTATTATTATTATTATTATTATTATTATTATTATTTGTGTTTTTCAGTTGGGCTTGACCTTTTAGGTTTAGGTCAAGTTTTCTCGTATATATACTTATGAATAGCCGTATCTGTAACATTGTAGCAGAATAGCTGGAATAAAATCTCTCTCTCTCTCTGGTTGGACAATGGACGTAGCCTATTGTAAGATAGTATGAACCACTTAAATTTTGTGTTGTGTTCTGTGTGCTTTTATTTTGTTTCTGATTTCTTGTATTTCTCATATCTATTTTTCGTTTACCGTTGTTCTTTACCTAACAAATAAATCTGTCCTTTTGAGTTACTTTCTTGTAGAAAAAAAGAGTGATTTTGAAAGAAATAAAAAGAAATAAAAAGAAACAAAAAAATTGCATGTTCTCGAGCTTTTCTGGAGAGAACATAAAGGAAGGGTAGATAAAATTTTGGATGATATTCTCTCTATGACATGCCTCATAAATTTCGAAACATTTGAATAGAACGGAAAGCATATGATTTATCATTCTTTTTTCGAAACGAATTAACTACCTCGGACTTGAATTAACCTATTTACTCTCGGTGAATTTGTTATCTTTCTTTTGCCTTCTCTCAGGCACATGATAATAAATAACAGAAGACCTTTCTTAGACCACAAACCTTTTTACCATCTTTTATCCTCGTTTCTTTTTGTTTCGCTCCAAAGTATAAGGTATATATCTAGAAAGAAATTTTCATGAAGTTCTAGTAATACTTCTGCAACCATACTGTGACAATGCTACTTGGAGCTCTCAACAAGACAGAAACTAGGATAGTTTGGCTGATGCTTAAGTTAGCATGGTGTTTCAGATAATATATTGTATGTGCTACTTCTTGTAAATGATGATTTTGCATTCGGTGTGAGGTTGATTTTGATGTTAATGGTATATAAAGACTCTGGGAGACAAGTCTCTAATAGAACTTCCACAAAGTTTTATTATATTAATGAATGTAAATTGATGTGGATTCATTCTTACTTCATATTCTTGAAGACCTTGACACCTTTTAATAGCAACTGCAATCCCAACACCCTTTGTTGAAGGAACGGATGTGAACTTGTCAACCCAACATAAGAACATAACTCCATTATCTCCCAAGAGAAAGTCTTGACTAAAATTTTTAGTTGCCCTTTGCAGATCAGCAAACTTAAACGCTTTCAAATTCGGAGAAGGATTTGAGGAATATTTGTTGTCAGCTTTTATTGTATCACCAGCATTTCGACTCTTTCCCTTTTTATCACCTGATAATATCACAACACCATGGGCTGAAACAGAGGAATAGAAAAATATTATATAATTGCTATTGTTACTTTTTCAGCACCATATATACTCGGTTAATTATTATTTTTTTCACTAGGTTTTGATGTGACTTGTAAAGTCTCTAGAGTACTATTCTTAATTACAATCAATGAATATGTTTAAAATTGTAACTACTTTAGGTAATAGGCTGCATCTCTTCAATTCGTGCACACTTCCTCATAGACTCCAGGAAAGCCGTAGGATTTCGACTAGTATACCCATTTTACATCGTCAGATATTACATTCAACAAAAGGTATATTCCCATAGAATAAGGAAAGCAAGAGTATAGTATACTAAAATACTTTTATTGCACCCACTAGCTTACAGAATAAGATGAATGTGATGAAGAACATGCATTAGGACTTGTGATGCTAAAACATTGCACATACAACTTCTCAAGCATATCATAGTTGATGACCACAGCTTTCACAAGTAACAGTGTAATTGAGCCTCTAGGAATCAACACATTTGTAATAAACAAGCACTACGTTGTAACAGCATAGATAACTTAAAACTGTAATAAATGACTATTATGGTGTTTGTCAAGCTAGGGATGCCACAAAACCTTTTACAAGAGGATTTGTACAAGAAAGTTGGATAGTCAAAAGACCAATAACAGACAGTACTGTAATAAACGACTATATAATTGGTTTCTAGTGTTTTTCTTGTTTTAAAAGTATAATACATGGATTTTTAGAGTTCAGTACATAAGCCATTCTTATCATTCCCACCTTATAAAGTAATTCATAATTCTCTGAATGATGATTTATATAAAGACAAGGCTTGAAATCGTTAACAGATTGTACCTTTGATAGTTTGTTCACATCAAATTCTTATATTGGTTCAACTTTCCATTACCATGGACTCCATAAAAACAGAAAAGGAATGTAAATACATGTATTATGTTACAATGTTAGAATGACCTCTTATATAATGTGATCTTGTTCATGTCAATTTCAATAAAATACGGATATATATATATATATATATATATATATATATATATATATATATATATATATATATATATATATATATATATATATATATATATATATAGAATTCGACCACATGGAAGGGAAGTGTAAACTTGAAGCTAGAGACAGAAAGTATAATCCCTGAACAAAAAAAGGATTTTGTCTAAGTTGAGAAGAGAAGAAGGTAAAAGGCATAAAATTGAAGCTAATCTTTCTTATAATTTTGCAAGTTATGTCACATAAAAAAGTTTCGCTCTCAAAGTCTGGACAGATATGAACGCCATAAACTATCATTCAGCAATCTTTCCAAAACTACTAACTATAATGTCGATTGACAAATCAACGTCAGTACTCTTTTGTTTTTTGACGTTGGGAGAAAATTTAAAGTATTTGCGTGCATAATTAAATTGGATTTTGAAATACCAGAGTTCTCTTCGTTGGAGGGAAAGGGCAACAAATCAAGCATTCTTTCATATAATGTTTTTCCGGAAGTCTGCAAGGAATTATTGGTTTTCTCCTGTAATGTTAGTATAGAATCAAGACTGACCACAACCTCAGCCATCGTAGGTCGTTGTTTTGGATTTCCAAGCAAACATCTATCTACCATTCGAATAAACTCCTTCAAACATTTTGTGGATATTTGACCCCTTATATCAGAATCAATTATATTCTTTAGTTTTCCCTCTTTGACAGAATCTTGAGCCCATGTCACTAAACCGCATTGCTCCTCATCAAGACTTCTATCCACTGCACGCTTCCTACACAACACTTCCAACAACACTACCCCAAAAGCATACACATCAGATTTCCTAGTCAACCTTCCAGTTGTGAAATAATTTGGATCGAAATACCCAAAAGTTCCTTTAACAAGTGTGTTGACATATGTAGATGGCTGGTTGGTTGGGCCTATTTTGGACAACCCAAAGTCCGAAATTTTAGCCGCCCCACTTTCATTTAACAAAATATTTGAACTCTTAACATCACGATGTATAACACCCGACTCAATCCCTGTACCTGTATGGAGGTAGTCTAACCCACGTGCAGCACCTATGCAGATCTTGAGTCTCTGAAGCCAAGAAAGAGGGGTACCAAGTTTATGGAGGTGGTCTTCAAGTGTTCCATTGGGCATATACTCATAGATGAGGATCATCTCTTTTTCATAATTACAATAACCAAACAAGGATACAAGATGACAGTGACGCAACTTTGAAAGCATCTCAACTTCAGCCCAAAATTCTACTGCCCCTTGAGTTGACTCAGGATCCAACCGTTTAATAGCAGCAATAACGACACTTGAACCGTTAAGAATGTTGCCTTTGTAAACATTTCCAAAACCTCCGTTCCCAATTACTAATGACTCGTCAAAGTTATTGGTTGCTAACAGAATCTCAGGAAATTCAAACTGACGGCATGGTTGTGATGATTCCATAGAGGAGGAGGTGGAGGCTTGAGATTCCTTCATTGGTCCAGTAGCATCGAACATAATCATTGTTGAAGTAAAAGCAAAAGCAGATTACAATGGTTGTTTCATAAATGATATTGGAGCTCTATAGTCAACCTATTAAATGGTAGTCTTCTTCCCAGAAAGAGAGATGGACCCCTGCCACATCAGAGACATCTATATTTAATTTGTTTTTTTTTAAATGGCAGTTTTGTTCCTACATTACCAGAGGAAAGACAATTTGTGCATAATTTTTTTATAGACAGCAATTTGTTTCCAACATGACATACTCCACAACCTTTGTATACTTATCTTCTGAAAAAGAATAATTGTGTTCCTACATGACCCCGTCTAAGACTAAATATCAATAGACGCCATTTTGTTCCTGCATGGCCCACTCAAGGACATCTATATAATATGTTCAATTATTTGTTTTATAGACTGCAAATTAGTTTCAACCTGACCTCATCAAAGAAATTCTGTATTTAATTTGTTTTATAGACGGCAATTTTGTTTTTAATTGAGTTTATCGATCAAAGACATTTGTATTTAATTTATTTTAGAGACGGCAATTTTGTTTTTAAGTGACTTTACCATGGCAATTTGTGCCTACATGATCCGGATAAAGTCATTTGTATTCATTTGTTTTTTTTTCTTTAACGAAAAATTAATCTATTTATAATTACCGTTAGGCCAAATACCATTTGTTATTCAGTTGTTTGCTAGACAATAATTTTGTTCGAAGATAGACTCAATCAATTCAAAATGGTACCAAGTCCACCAAAGATTTTAAGAATAAACATGATGTGTGATTAACTATATATAAATATCGATGAAAATTTTAAATTCGTAAAACTGATTTTATCGCAGCCATATTATTATACACACTAGACAGTGAACCTAATTGTGTAACAGTATAGTTGTGGTAAACCATATTGTCAAACACTAGGAGAACGATAGTAATATTAGAATGTTTGATTATATGATAAACTTGGCACACACAAAGCAACAAAAATGGGTTTTGATGATAAACTCAGTAGACATAAATCAATAACTAACTAGATAAAGTGATTAGAATCAAACCACTTCAGGTATTTTTGTTTAAACACGGTTACATCTCAAAATCATGGTTAATTACTACAATACAATGGATATTTATTCATTATTCACCGATTCCTATTGTGATTACTTTTTTTTTTCTGAATCGTATTGTGCATGTTTTGATTTTCATTAATCTTAATGGTCGTAAGAAATAAATCATGTATATAATGATCCTTTAATGAATGTATGCACATTAAGGTTCAAGGATTTATCATCCTAACACTACCATCCGGTAAATCACTACTCATAATTATTTTAATAAAATAAAACAACTGTGATTCAAGAAGACACGGTTGGACTGGTCCTTATAAACGCATAAACTCGGCAATAGGTAATTAATGATCTTTAACACATGTGGATCTTTGTAACATCCGATTTTTCCGAGGTATGAATTTTTAAAAAAATTATATATATATATATATATATATATATATATATATATATATATATATATATATATATATTGAAAATATGGCTGGCCATAACATGGTGAAGGTATCACCAACACGTGGCAAATTGGTTTGGAAACGTGCATCTTAAATGAGTGTCACGACATGACACCATGTTGCCCACGATGTGGCAACCATTTTGGGCCAAACCCTATTTTTTGGGCTTTAAACCCTATTTAAAGGAAATGATGGTTAGGGTTTCCTCCACCCTCAGCCTCCATCACCTTCAAACAACTATTTGTCCAAACCCTGGCCGTGTTGAAGCTTTTGTGCTAATTTTGCAAGTTCTTGGTGGTTTTAAAGGAAGAAGAAGAGTTGGTGCCTTGATTCAACAAACAAATCTTTCCTTCACTTGTGTGCATCTCGCGGACTCTTTGTAAGTCCTCATGTTTCCATCTTTTGATTCTTTCCTCTTTATATCTAGGTTTTATGTCATATTTTGGTTCACTTGATGTGGTTGGTATGGTTTGAAGAGATAAAAGTTTGCAACTTTATGGTTTCTCTATGTCCCAAGAGCATTATATCTCATAGATCTAGGAGGTGGTGGTGATTTGGGAACCTTGCATGAATTTTAGGTTATATTGCATCTTTTGGCCTAGATTTGGGAAAGGACATGCATTTTTAGTAATCATTTGGGTCCCTAAAGTCCTTTTGGAAGTTTTGAACTAAAGACTTCATGGATTAAGTGGTTAATGGTTAAATCCCATGCATTAAGTTGCCTTTTTGGACCTTAGAATTCAGATCTAGGCTTAGTGGGATGTATTAATGGATAAAGTTGGAAACTTTATCCATCCAAAACATGAAAAGAATCATATCTGAGCTTTAGAGCTCATGGGTTCGATGGAAAACGGCTTAACCCTTTAAGTTGTTAGACCCAATTTCCACGACATGACGTTTGGCTGCCATGACGTGGCGACTGGGGAAGACACACGACTATTTTTTCTTTATTAGGCCACGACGTGACCAATAGGAGGTCATGACGTGGTGACCCTATGAAGTCAACTTGGGACAATTGACTTTGATCGCTGACTTTGACATGGGTTGACTTTTGGTCAAATTACTAGTTTGGTAGGTGAACTAAGGTTTCATCTTGTATGGTTGACTAGGTGGTGTTTATCACATGTTCCTCGACTGTATGAGAGCTGTTGGATTTTGACTACATCGAGGTGAGTCTTCTCACTATAATGTAGGATGTTAGGCGGTCTGTGTAACTCGTGCATGATTGTTGGGCGAGGCTTGTTTGTATGTTAGGTGAGGCCCTTTGGGTGAGACTCGTTGTATGTAGGAAAGGCTCGTTATATCTATTGGTCGAGGCCTGTTTGTATGTTGGATTAGGCCCGTTAGGTGAGACTTGTTTGTATGTTGGGCGAGGCATGTTTGTATATTCGGGAACTTATTAAGCTTTGTGCTTATAGTTTTATGTTTAAACGTTTTCAGCTACTTCTGGTTCCAAAAGATCTCGGTATGATTGCATTGCACACCCCGTGATTTTATTTTGCACTATCTTTTTTGTTTTATCGTTGTTGTTTTGAGGATACACCATAAATTTGATTATCGATGATTTGAATGAAAGGATGTTGGGTTTTTGGTTGATTTAAAAACAAAATTTTTGCTGTGACTTTTGTTAAATCTATATGCCCAAGAATCATTGTTGAGTGATATTGATAATAACATATTATCATATAGGGTCATACATTTATCAAGTTGGCACATTTTGTATATTTATTACTATGATTATTAATAAATAATATCAATTCTTGTATTTATTTTGGGAATAATTATTGTTTTGTGAAAATAATAATTAAAGAGAGTATAACTAGTTATTATATCACATGGTATGATTTAATAATTCATGTACAAAGTTTTGGACACTTTGGTTAACCGTGATTAAGTTAATGAGTTAAGATACCATGGTTAATAAACTAGCTAGAAAATTTTTGTCTTCTTTTTAAGCAAGGCCAAAATCATTTTTATAAGAGAAGAGATTGCTTGTCAACTTTGTTCTTATGTCCTCCATGCTTCTAAAAGGCTACCAATATTTTATGTTATTATAATCTAAAGGTATGTATTGCATGGGAGTATAAAAAGATGCATGTGTTTGCATTTTTTGGCTAGTTTTTCTACATGGATAGTAGTTCCATGTAGATTTAAATTACATGGATAGTAGCTCCATGTAGATTTTAATTACAATTACACGTCATAGTTAGAGTACATTATTGTCGGGGAACCACATACTAAGATGCTTAATGTATAGTTCATTTTGACTATGAGTAATCCCATTACACATGTATTGGTATCTAAGTCATATTTAAGCATCTAATTTGTTCTCAATAGTTTTCTCTGTAATGAGTTATATATATATATATATATATATATATATATATATATATATATATATATATAACTGAAAATGTTTGTATTCACACAGTTTATACCAATCAAGTTTGTCAAATCTACTTAACATAACTCATTCATTCGCTAAAGTATGAAAGTCAAGTTGGTGCTATAGGGTCGTGTTGATATATGTAGATGTATTTGATTGAAAAATAGTATTTAGATATTGGAACAATA